AACGATTATCAAACGAAAGCAATTTATAATGCGTTAAACGAAGATATTTCACTTGTAATAGGACCACCTGGAACTGGTAAAACTACAGTTGCTGTATCAATTGCACAATACTTGATTTATAACAAATATAGATTTTATAATATAAATCGAGGTGAAAAAAAATTATTAGTTTGTGCATCAAGCAATAATGCTGTTGATGTGATTTGCTTAAAACTTATTGAAAAGGGTATTCCAACAGTTAGAGTGGTTGCAGATGAACAGTTTGAAAATTGTAGTGATAAAATAAGAAAAAATTCATTATTAAAAAAAGCAATAGAATTTACAGAGAAAAAAGGAATTAATGAAGTGGCAATAACACAATCTGGTCAAATTATTATTAACTCAGTTTTAGTACAAAGAATAAAGAAACAAATACAAAATAAAAAAACAGGTAATGGTTTAGGTGATAATGTTGAATTTGGTGTTGAATTTGATGATGTTTCAAATGATGAATCTGATGATGAATTAGAAGAATCAAAAATAGTCAATATAAGAGAATTACTAAAGAAAAAGTATGGGCAATATCCAACAGAAGATGAAAATAGAGAAGTTCAAAAATGTTATGAAACATATCTATCAACACCAATATATCAGATGGCATATGAAACATTTGAAAAATTTGTCAAACAAACTAATTCAGAAATACAAAAAATTTTTGATAGAGTTTCTCAAAGAATAACATTAGAAGAAAATGACTATATTAATAAATTCATCTCAACATATTTTGATGACATATTATCTGGAATAGAATGTGTTTGTTCTACACTCACTATTTGTACTCGTCCAACATTACTAAAACAAAAATTTTTTGCATCTATTGTTGATGAAGCTGCTCAGTCTCTTGAACCAGAGACATTGGCTGGAATTATTAATGTTAGAAAAGCTGTTTTAATTGGAGATATTCAACAATTACAACCAACATGTCTTTCAACTGAAGCTAGAGAAGCAGGATTCCAAAAATCAATGTTTGAACGATTTATGGCAAATACACAAATCAAAAGAACAATGTTAAAAACACAATACAGAATGCATCCAGCAATTTCAGAATTCTCAAATAAAATGTTTTATTCTTCTAAATTAGAGAATGGAGTGAGTAGTAAAGATAGATTTGATAATAGGATTATTAACTTCTTCCCAGACTACACAAATCCTATAATGTTTATTAACTGTGATGGAACAGAGCAATATGGAAGTAGTGGAACAAGTTATAATAATGCAGGAGAAGTTCAAATAATACAAGAGGTTGTTGAGAAATTGTTGAATAACGATATTGAAGAAAATGAAATAGGAATTATTTCACCATATCAAGCTCAACAAGAACTTATTTCTCAGTATGTTTCTACAAAGATTAAAGTTGCTAATATTGATGGATTTCAAGGAAATGAAAAAGAATATATTATTTTTTCTTGTGTTAGGTCAAACCAAACTCTTGGTGTTGGATTTGTGAATGATTATAAAAGACTAAATGTTGCATTAACAAGAGCTAAACGTGGATTAATTATTATTGGTAACATCCCAACATTAGTCACATCTAAAGTTTGGAATATGCTAATTCATCAATTTTATTTGAGAGATGCTTTATTTGAATTGAAAGAACATGACTTTGTTCAATACAACGTTGAAAACCAAGAAGAATTTAATCGTCCATTAGAAGAATCTCCATTCCAAGTTCAATACGAGGTTGATGACTCCGATTTGTGTTGTAAACCATTCTATAAGGAGAATGAATTTTCTAGACGAGAAATAAAAGGTGATTGTGATAATTAGTGTTGTTGAGGTTAAATAAAACGTGAAATAATTAAGTAGAATATATTTTTTAATAAACATTCTTGAAGTGTTTATTTTTTATTCAAACATAATTAAATGAAGAATGAAAATCAGAAACATATACAAACAATAATACAAAATCAAATAATGAAATATCAATTGATATTTGATTATGATGATGTAATTGAATAAAAAATGTATTAATTAATAATACAAAGAATGAAATAAGATAATAAGAAAGAATAATAAGAAAAGAAACTAGATATAATAATATAGTTGTAATTCAATATTCATTCAACATAAAATAAGAAATAAAGAAAGATATTCTTTAAAAATAAAATAAAAAGAATAAATCAACAGAAGAAAGAAAGAAAGAAATAAACAGAAGAAATAAAATAGTTAAATCATTCTTGTAAATAAGTGTTGTTAATAAATCGTTCACAACAAGATTTGGAATAGTTTGTTGTTAATTTCTTTGTGGATAAACAATTTCGGTTGACAGTATTTAAAAATATTTTTTATAGTAGATGATTTCTTTTAAAAGCTAAACGAAAGAAGAATATTTTTGTCATAAGATATAGAACTACAATAACTTGTTTTTCAAAGAAAAATTAATGAGTTTTTTAATAAATATATACTTAATAGACTGATGTATAAGCAAATTCAGTAGTAATGATTTTACGTACTTTATTCCATGTTAATGTAAAAAAAACAATAAAAAGAATATATTAATCAATTGATTATGTTGTGTTGTTTAAAATAGTCTAAATTCAAAATGTGTTTTTGTTCACTTCTCATCATTTTGATAGATTCAACAGTTATTGGTAATTCTATTTTAGTAAGCTTCATACATCGCATACATTGGAATGTTTTTAAAGACTTATTGAATTTGATTTCTTCTAAATTATCAAGATTGTTTAACACTAAATCTTTTAATGATTCTGGACATTCAATGTTTTTAAACTCACTACTACTGATTTCTAATCGTTCTACTTGATTTCCAAGATGTAATGAATGAGAAAAACAGTCTCTAATAATGACTTTCTTTGCAGTGGATTTATCAAGATTTAATTCTTGTCCTCTATAATAAAAAATATGAATCTCTTGACATTTTAATTTTTCAATTCCATCAAAGTCATGTGGTTCATATAATTCTAATGTAGTTAATTGTTCTAATGAACATTGTGGAATAGATGAGAATGTTAATTCTTTTAATTGTTGTAATTGATTTAAATTAGTAATATTTTCTTTAAGTGCACTCAATTCAGTTATTGTTGTTGGTAAAATCCATTCACATTGAACATCCATTGGTCCATAATGAATACTTTTTAAACATTCAAATTGTTTTAAGTCTATTGTAGGATGTTTTCCTTCTCTGTGTTCATCTTCCCAAGTAAATGTTACTTTAGTAATTCCATATTTAGTAAGTATTCCACTTTCAATCAATGGAAGTACTTCTCCTTCTATTTCATCAATAATTGCAATAAATCGGTTGTTTTTACTTAATTCTTCAATTCCATCAATACTTCTTACTTTTTTAATAACTTTAATATTATTTCCAAGTGAGAGTATTTGTTGGATATATTCTAATGCAACTCCTTCAACTATAATTTCTGGTCTATTTCCAATTTCTTTAAGAATTGAAATAAATTCTTCATAAACTTGTTTAAGTTCATCTTCTTCAAGTGGTGTAGAAGGCTCTTCTTCAAGAATGATTCTAACTAGACTTAATGTTTCTATATCTCTCAATCCTTTCCAATTCATTTCTTTTGCACAAATCCATCCTTGCATATCACCACCAAGAGTAATATTAAGTTTTTTTAATGACTTCATTTCATTGACATTACTACAAAGACTATCTGTTTTCCAATTACGAATTTTGTTTATAGGAATTCCTTGAATATTTCCATCAATATCATAATATTCATAATTTGATTTTAATGATGAAATAACATTGGTTCCTTGATAATTTGTCATTCCACCAAATATTTTTAATTCTTTTATTACATTGTCTTTATCTAAACATAAATTCTCTTTAAATGATTGTAGTCCTTCATTTGTTTTCTTGTTTATCATAGAAAAATTAACTAAATCTTCATAGCTTTTAAGGTATTTCGCTACATTCATTAAATAAACCATTTCTAACTGAGTCATTTTGAACAAATGAATAATTGAATGTTGATTTGACAGTTCTATAACTATACCTTGGAATAAATTAGAATACTTTAGAATTTATTCTTTCTATTTCTAGTTCTGTTATTAATATTGTTATACATAACAAAATAGTTTCATTTAATCATTTTATCATCAATTATCTCTTCAATTTAAACGTGTCTTATCTATCTTATTTTTTGAATTGTTTATCACTTATTCTTCATTTCTTGATTTATGTATGTGTAATATAATTTTTAATTGGAATATTTTTTGATAATATTGATAT